TGCGAGCCGTGCGATCGCGGGCTGTGCAGCCCCGCCCCGGGCTGCTGTTCGTGTTCTTGAAATCGTGGCTGCGTCCGGTGGCGCCGTGTCCTAAAATAAACGCACCAACACGTAGGGACGCGGCCTTTGGTCCGGACCGGCCGAGCCCACTGCCCTCATGGCTTCTGGCAGCGGCCCGTTCGGCCGGGGCGTTGGCGGGGGTGATTTCTTTTGGAGCAGCTTGCTTACAGTCTGTGATCCCGCCATCGGGCAGAAGTCACCCTCTCGAGAAACGTGCCCGTCCCCGCGGGGGCGATACGTGCGGCTTAAAGGCTGACGGCGGTCTGCGCAGCTGCCGGCCCTGGGAAGCGAGTGGAAGACTTGTGCCTGCTGTGTGCAGATCACTTGTTAAGTGAAGCGGCTGGTGTGTCAAAAAACGGTTCTGCCTTCTCGGAAAACGGCCTTGCCCTGGTAGCATTTACACCGTGACAGCTATTTCCGTGTGCACCCACATAACGAGCAGTACTAATTCTCAAAAATTTGTTAGTGTGTTATGAGAAATGTCTGAGAACAGTAGGGAGAGAATGCATTTTGCTAGATTAGGGGAAAGAGAAAAGCTTTCAGGATCTGATGCCTATTTGCATCTAAAGAACTAACAAAAGAGAGGGATACAAACTATGATCAAGAGTATTTTTTCAACAATAAGAAGGAAATGCAGTATTTCTGCATTGTGGCTATTCAGGTAGTCCATTGCTAGTTATTCAAATTCATATGGAAATTAATTTTGCAGACTCAGTGTATACCTTCAAGACAAATTATTAAGAACCTCCAGATTATCCTGAAGTCACTGCTGATATCTGTGTTTTGAGTGTACTTGTGCAGTTGGCCTTGCATTTGACAGTACATAAAGCTGCCCTAGGAGTAGGATTTGGCGCACTGAATTAGTCTGCTTGGGATGATACTGCATGCTGCAGGACATGCTGCTGCTACTGTATATTACTGCATTCTAGAAATAGCATCTTTCTGAGGCTAGCAGTAGAGAGTGAACCTGAAAATAGATGAAGTTGGAGCAGGATGAGGGGACGGTTTTCTTTCACGTAAGCAACTAAATGTGGATTTCATTTTATGAAGAGCTCCCAGGTGCTATGTGCATTTCTGGATGAAAAGTCTCTACTTAGGAAAAAATCCCTGTCTCATAGAGTGGACGACCTATGAAGTGCCTTCTCACACCACAGATGCTTTCACAGACTTCTGTCAGACCAGTATGAGTTAGTGTGTATTTTACAGGATGTAGCTGAAGGTACTTAACCTAAGCTTCAAGTGGAAATTTGGCCATTCACCTCAGCTTGAATTTATGAGCTGAAAGAAAAAGTCTTGAGCCTAGTTTGTTCCATTTGCTAGATTCTGTCGTCTGCTCCCCCATTGCACATGTGCACACACGTTTCTCCCCCACAAAACTGTGAAATACCCAGAAAATCTATTGCTCAGGTTTTGCAGGGGCACTGATCGAGTCATTATAAGTCACGGGAAACTCTTCATGAAGCATGTTGTGTGGAAACTAAATACCAGACTTGAGGTCAAAGCTCATGCAAGCCCTTTTTATAAATGCTGACCTGGGTAGGAGTCAGTAGTCTGGGTATGAGTGAGGGTGTGTAAATCGGAAACAACTCTGCCACCCACCTTGAGCCCTTCTCTCTGGCAGGCTCAAGTCATGTAAAGTCTTGCTTAGGCCAAGCTGCTTCATTTTCTGGTGCTGATCTGCTGTGTCTCCCACTGCACCAATGTCTTAATCTCATAATATCATAATGCATTCTTGGTAAAAAGCTTTTTAGTTAAATGGGATTGCTATGAATATTAGTTGAAGCTAGTGAACCATTTTGAGGTGGCTTAAATGAAAGGTAATGCAGAAATGCGAAGTGCTCACTGTTAAACTTCACTACCAGGAAGGATTTGTGCTCGGGGATTTGCCTTCTAACCACATTGTCTCTTTTTACCTACCTCAGTCTCTCCCTTCGCAACCATCTCACCTAACAGCACCCCTCAAGATATGGCTTCAAAAAGAGCATTGGTGATTCTAGCAAAGGGGGCAGAGGAAATGGAAACTGTAATCCCCACTGATGTCATGAGAAGAGCTGGGGTAAGTGTACAGACAATGAAAAAATCTTTTTGTGAGTGCTTGGTTGGGAAAATCTCTGCCTCAAGTTGACATTCATTGCTAGGAGTTCAAGGTGTAGTCTGTTGCGTGAGCTGAAAAATCACCTGTGCCTTCTTACTGGCTAGCAAATGTTTGTGCCATGCCCCAAATAAGCATTCATGACAACTGACATTTCTGCAAAATATGAACTTTCAAAACACGAGCCTAGAGTAGACTTGAGTGGATGTTTCAAGTAAATTTTACCCTGTCAGAAAACAGGGGGTTAGCAGGAAGTGCTTTCTTTTCAGGGGTCTGGACAGCTCAGTACATTACAACTTATTACATTATGCAGCTTTTCTTGACCTACTTTTAAAATTCTGTTATTAATTAGAATTCTGTCTGATGGGATTCCTCATACTGTTTGTTACTTTTGCAGCCATAGTGGTACAGTGTTATCATCTGATTAGGTACGAAAATAAGATTTTAAATAAATGCACCAACTTCATATATAGAAATGACTAAAATAAAAATAACCTTTTCCCAGCACCTTTGTCATTCCATTAGCGTACTCGTGATTTGGGCTACCATAAGAAGCACAAGCTTGTCTGCTTATTTAGTGAATGTGAGCTGTGCCATGCACATCTATGATATTATGAGCAGGCATCTAAAAGTCAAGGAAGAAAACTGAAAATGCCATAAATGTATTTGAGAATGGCTCAAGGCTGCAGAGAGACTTCAATTAATTATCTGATCTACTTAGTCTGACTTTCCTGGGTTGTATTGTTTTGTTTTGTTTAAAACCTGTGGGATCGTGAAACCCCATCCAGAGTACACCATCCAGCTCTGGAGTCCTCAGCACAGGAAAGACATGGACCTGCTGGAGCGAGTTCAGAAGAGGCCATGAAGATGGTCAGAGGGATGGAGCACCTCCCGTGCAAGGACAGGCTGAGAGAGTTGGGGGTGTTCAGCCTGGAGAAGAGAAGTCTTCAAGGAGACCTTAGAGCAGCTTCCAGTGCTGAAAGGGGGCTACAGGAGAGATGGGGAGGCACTCCTGATCAGGGGGTGCAGGGACACACAGAGGGGTAAGGGTTTTAAGATGAAAGAGGGCAGATTTAGATTAGCTATTAGGAATAAATTTTTTCCTGTGAGGGTGGAGGGGCACTGGCCCAGGTTGCCCCATCCCTGGAGGTGTTCAAGGCCAGGCTGGATGAGGCTTTGAGCAACCTGGGCTAGTGGGAGGTGTCCGTGCCCATGGCAGGGGTGGAATGGATGGGCCTTAAGGTCCTTTCCAACCCAAACTGTTCCATGATCTGTGATTCTGTGATCAGATATTGTCTAAATGTCCTATTTGAAAAGTTGTACTGTTACAGGTATTTGTTTAGGTGAATATCACTGCTTACCTTGTGTGTTTGTACTTAATCATGGTTAAGAGGAAGCTTAAATGTTGGCCTGTTCTTGATATCTTTCATTAGTGCTTCACTCATTCTATGTACTACTTAAGAACGAACGTATAAGAAGAATGCCCTAAATTCTTGAATTGTAATAATACGTGTATTCTTCTGTTAGATCAAAGTGACTGTTGCAGGCCTAACAGGAAAAGAACCAGTGCAGTGCAGTCGAGATGTCTTCATTTGTCCTGATGCCAGTCTCGAAGATGCCAGAAAAGAGGTTGGTCATCGTTCTGATCTGATCTAATGGCCAACATGGCCTTTCTCACAGTTTCAGAGGTGAATTTGCAAAGCTTAAGCGTTATGTTTAGAAATGTGTTCCACGTTATGTTAGCTCTATTCAGCAGTGAATCACAGAACTGCACATCCCACAGTGCTCTCCTTCAGTGTTGTCCTGCTTCATAGCACGCTAGGATCAAACAGATTTATTAATTCTGCACAGGTATTTTTTTCTGCAGAACGTCAAACATAGAACTTTATTTTGCATGTTAGTTGGCCCAACAGAATACTGTGATTTGGAACAACTGAAGGGTGGGAAGCTAAACAATGCTATAGTTAGACCTGTACAGTAAGGTTGGAGGAAAACCACTTGTTCTTACAATGCAAGAGCTGCCATTTGCTTGCTGGAGCTCTTAAGTGCACTAGACTTAAAAGTTAGTTCTGTGATAGACATTATTGATAATAGGCTCTTCCTGGAATAGGAAACAGTATTTTGTTCCATAATTGGAGCTGGTTCTCAGACCATAAAATGTTGTTCAGTGGAAGAAGAGGTGGATCCCTTTGATTCTCACTCAGCAAAACTGTAGTGGCCTTAAAACAGTGTCACGTATGCACCAGCCTCTGTTTGACAGAACAATTATATCTTTCGTTTGTTTAGGGGCCTTACGATGTCGTGGTCCTGCCTGGGGGTAACCTTGGAGCTCAAAACTTGTCAGAGGTAAAGTCCTGTTATCTTAGAGATTCATGGGCATCCTCATGAGTTGTGGGTGGTCTGCACTTGCTTAGTAATCCTGCAGATTCAGTTCAGCATCTCAACATTCTCTTCAGAATGAATCAGTAAACTGTTAATTGTCTTAAGCCTTCTTGTGAATATATAGGTGGGATAACTGGGTAGATTCTTGGCCTGGAGTACCTAGTTAAGCAGAATGAAAATGGAAGGGTGCTCTGTATTGTGGGAGGATCTCTGATCATGATCATATGAAGATTAAACAGTTGCAAATGAAGATTTAATTCCATGAAATATAAAAACAGGCTGAAGCCACAGGACTCTCTGCTGAAGAATTCTGTCTCTGCTGCAAAACTGTTGTAGTGGTAGTATAAATACCTTGTGGAAGGCAGGCGGACAAACAAGTCAATCTATCAAATAGGATTTAGATGATCAAATAGGATTTAGATGATATCACAAGTACTCTTTTGCAGTTCCTTCTGATTTTGCTCTTTCCTTGTGGAACAAGTGTTTATTGTTTTCAGTTTTTTTCCTTCTTAGTGTTTTCATTGCCCTCTGTTCTGAGGCAGGATGGGGAATTCTCAGCTGGCTTTCTTGATAAAACTTGTTTATGAATTTGCAGTGGAAAATATTTCAGCTGTGCTTCAAATAGTCAACTCCCAACAATGACTTGTAATACGGTTTCTTCATACAGTCTCCTGCTGTGAAAGACATCTTGAAGGACCAGGAAAGCAGAAAAGGCCTGATTGCTGCCATATGTGCAGGTGGGTTGACAAGACATCTTGCTTTGTAAAGCATTTAGATATTTTGAAGGGGCATGCAGACAGTTTCCTGTCTATTCCCGTAATTTAGTAGCAGGGATTGTACTATACAGGCAATCATCAGCATTTGAAATTTTTGTAAATTTTTTGTAAGTTTAGAGGAATCTTTAAAGTATTGTGAACCATTATCCTGCAAGTTCTGCTTGGTACCCAGTTCTTTCCAGTCAGTTGTGTTAGTGTCTTTAAAATAAAAAGTGAAATGTGATGTGCTAGGATTTTTTACAAAATATTTGCTTATTCTGGTGATCTTTCTGCGAGGACACAGAGCTGGCAGAACATCACTGCTATAAATTGATCTCACATCTCCTCTCCTGCCCTTTAGCTTCAGAAGGAGGGCTGTAAATATAGAATTACAGGCTCACCCTTCCTCGTCTGAGTGGTAGCAAAAGATGGAATTACTCTTGAGGAGAGGGTTGTCTGCTTACATATCCTGCACAGCTAGGTATCCAGTTCATTCCTTTGTAAGATTTGTATGTAAAAAAGCAAGATGAACAATTGCCAGTAGTCCCAATCAAACTGGGAGGCTGGCCCAGCTATGGAGCGTGGCGATAAGTGCGTAAAAGACAGTCTAACAGAGCGTGTTTTTGGAGTTCATTTTCACTTCTGTTTTCTGGTATGTTGCTGGGATTTTTTTCTTTCGTTCTTCAGTTAGGTGATTGTCACGGTCCACTAAGGACTTGTGAT